TGAGTTAATGAGTGTGTAAATTTATTCCATAACTAAAATAATTAATGGTTCGATATAGATTGAAAAATGAACTATGAGCACTGTACAAATTAACTTTGTCTTGTTTTAAAAATTAAAGTCCGCAAACTGAATTATAAGCACTGAACTAATTAATTTTTTCTCTTTTTTTTTGAAAAAAAAAAACAAAATCAGAATTCTGAAACAAAAAAATTGTTTGAAGTCTAAACACTGGAATATGAAGTCAATAAGATTTGGACTTATAATTTTGTCTACGAAAATAAATGATACGTATGAAATCACGATAATTAAAATAATTATATTATTATGAATTTAAGTAATAATGATATTTATTTTTTATTGTGTAAGTATTCATGATTAATAATAATATCATATTCTTATGGTAAGTATATATTTATCATGGATTTTATTTGTACTTTAGAATTTTATTAAAATAAACACCTATATTAAACAAAAAAAAACTACAATTTTTAATTTAAAAATAAACACCAAAATTAAAATAAAACATAAAAAAATAAAAACAAAGGTAAATAATTATGAAGGGAAGAAAAACCCTATTTCGGTCATTCAGTTAAGTAATACTCCCTCCGTCCCATAATTATTGTCCACTTTGCCCAAAAAATTTTGTCCCAAAATTATTGTCCAATTTGACTTTTTATGGATCAAGTTACACATTTGTCCTTAGTAAAAAAACATTATCCATAAAATCTTAGTGGTTAATCAATTACTTATGTAGGGGTATATTCGGTTGTTTAAGGTAAAATATAGTTAAGTTTGACGAAAAATAAAATTTTTCATTTTAGTAAAATTGGACAATAATTATGGGACGGAGGGAGTAAATGATAGGGTTTTCCACATGTTTTTAATAGGAGTGTTAAATTTTGAAATCTAGTGTTCACTGTTGTTTATTACACGTACGACGTATACATATGACCTAACTTATGACTAAATAAATATCTTGTCACGCATCATAATAGTCACATTAGTAAGTTTTTTATTTAAATTTTTTTGTGAATCGTGAAAATCCTATCATTTATTTTTATACACACATTTATATTTGCATTTCGGACCTATTTAATCTATTAAAAGATCCCAATTTTAGGTATCAAATGCAGTTAAAAATTAAGTTCTTAATTAGTTGAATTCTTAATAAATTTAGTTGTGAAATTATATTATCAAACAATATCAATCAATTAAAAAAATTAATTTAATAAGTTTCAACAGTTGAATGAGTTTATCAAACAGGCCCTAAGAGCAGGGGTGTTCACGGTTCGGTTTGAATTGGTGGCCGGTTTACAATTGAACTTTTAATCCGACAGATTTGAAAAATTGTAAACCGTTACTTACGGTCCGAATTACGATTTGACACTAAGAAATCATTTGTCAAACTGGATCGGACCGTATATATATTATATAATAATAGTAGTAATTTTCTTATATTATATATATATAAATAAGTGATATATCTTATTACAAATGGTGAGTGGTAGCGTTGGCAATTCTAATTCACTTTGACACTATTCATACCATTTGGTCACGAGTTTGAAACTCCTTACACCCATTTTGTAACCTTTTTTGTTTATGAATTTAAATTTAAAAAAGACCCAATATTATTCTAATTATTATTTGCCTCTGAATAGCCAAAAAAAAGGCCAACAAAATACCCAATAACATAAAAAGTTTGTGGCCTAGAAATAAAAAAGCCCAATAATAGGTCCAAACCCTTAAACCGCCCAAACCAAAAAGTTCAATGTAGTTTGAAATGGTCCGGTTTCATAATATAATCGGTTCAGTTATAATTTCAAAATTTTGAAAAACCGTAAGGAATGGTTTTGTTACGGATTGATGGTAAACCGGACCAATTCGGTCCGGTTAAACACCCCTATCTAAACGTGTTCAATTCGTTTTACAACACTCAATTAAATAGTTAGTTTTAAGGGATGATATTGATTACCAATTTTACTAACTTAAGAAACAAAAATAAATGTTTTTGCTAAGCCACTTTCAGCATTATTCTTTTGCAAATTCATATGTAGTTCGTCAACCTGTGATTAGCTCCAGTGGGACACTAAGTTATATTTATCATTTTCTACCATTTTGCCTAGTTGGTGAATGGAGAGCTGTGCTCGAACGTTCTTAGATGATTAGGAGTCAATAAAGTGCGAATTTCATCAATGGCAATCATCTCGGAGCTTCGGATCTATTTGATTAGTTGGGATTTGTGAAAAACATTTTATACGATGGGAAGAAAATGGCGCGAAGAAGAATACAGAGGCAAAATGAAGGAATTGACACGGACAGAAATGTAGTTATGGTGGTACAGAGGCAAAATGAAGTCCTGCATGATTTGTTAATTCTGCACGACAAGTGGCAAAGAAGAATACACTATATAAATCCCCTACATGGTCATGAGCTTGGTATATCAACTGAGCCAAGCATTTTGTGTTGGTTCCAGGTTCAATTTGGCAGAGTGGAAGGATTTTTTAGTAGGGCAGGTCATTTTGAACCACGGTTCGGGTCGAATGATCCGAACCGAACTGATTCAAAATCGATCCGAAATTTTACTTTCGGTTCGAATCAGTTCAGATCAATAATTTTTAAATATGGAATGGTTCGAATCGGTTCGGGTCAAGTGAATATCCAAATTGAACCGAATTAACCCAAGTAAATAATAATAATAATAATAATAATTTAAATATTATCTTCGTTGACCGCCAACGGCTACCATTGACCACTGCCGCGACCGCCGCCAATAAACATTTCCGGTGATAATTCCGTAAAAGTTGCCGGAAAATTGAATTTTTCCAATGACCAGTGACCGGCGCTGACGTGATGATGTCATCGTTACTTTTGATGACATCATCATGAAATGAAACGGTTCATTTCGGGTCAATTCCGTTCAACTCCGAAGTTTGATTCAAATCAATCTGAACCGAACTATTAGTGATCTAAAAGAAACTTGCCCCGTTTCCGAATCGATCTAAAATAACGGTTCGGGTCGGTTTTCTGAAATGAACAACCTTGCTTTTGAGAACTCAAAAGCTTTTTTTTTTTCCTCGTTTGGGAACATCGTCAACGATAGTGGAAAAGTGGAAGCAAGAAAATCTTGAAGTTCTTAAGTTAATGAAAAATAAACATTTAGTTAGGGGGACTTCATTGGATGATAATCTTCCACGCAGGAAATTATTACTACTTCCTTTTAAAAAAAAAAATAGTCTACGTTAAATTTTCAAATGTATAATAATAATACAAATTTAAAAACTCAACGTGAATAATTTCTTAAGACAGGAAGAGTATTAAACAAATGTAAGCGATTAGTGGAGTTACCTTTGCCTTCAACCGAAAGTTCAGCTCTTCAGATGATTGAGGTAACTATAATTTTTATCATGTCACAGACTCAATAAATCTAATTTAAAAAATGCAGATGGATTTGGGGAATGAGGATTTCAAGTTCTTTGTTCACTCTTCATAAAGGGCGTTATTAGCAGATAATAGAATTAAGTCTTTTATGGTGTCTTATGATGCTTTTCTGCTTTTGATTTCATTGTTAAATTTACTTTTAATTCAACAGGAAAAGCAGGGTTCATTTACAAGTAAGTAAATAAATTAAGTCTGATGGAAGGAGTAGAACCCTCAATTTTCGAAATACTTGCTCTGCTCAAAAAATAAAATAAAATAAAATAAAATTGAATTTTAATATTTATATTAAAAGAAGTATAAATTTGAAAATTCAATATCTATTTTTTCTCGACAGAGGGAATAGTTTAAGAATGGCCGGCAACGATTGCCAATTAGAAAAGCACCAAGCAATGAGAAATCCTCTTCTTCTTTTGTTTCTTTCAAGGAAAAAAAAAATTAATCCAGGTATGCAGTAGAAAGGCAGTTTATTATTAGTTGAAAATCATGTAGATGGAAATTAATGAAATTAATCTCTGCACATGAAAATCTTGGATATTTTTCAGATACACAAACACAATCTTCACTCCTTTAAGTTTGTCATTTCTTTCTTGAGTTTTCTCTTTTATCCTCAAAGTTTTCAGATATGTATTTCTCATTTTGTTTCCGTGTATTCAATAATAACTTTCATTCGCCTCAGTTGATGAGAACATGACAAAGCAGCGACAAGATGGGGTTTATACTTCTTCTCTTTCGCATCAGGCTGGTATTGCATAATTTGTCAAACTTGTAGCAAAGATTAGGCCGTAATGCTTCCTGTCAATTTATCAATGTTGAAACTGTATCATTGTTATCCTGGCCAGTATTTCCAAAACTGTCTTTAATTCTTTTTCTGGCCTGTGGCTCAAAGCTGTGTGATGATCTTTTGATCTTTTCTTCAGATTGTTCAAGGTGAATTAAGGATTGTCAAACTGCTTCAAGACCTAAATACTCCTTTATTTTTCGATATTTTTTTTTTCCGAATAATAGTCAACAGCGTCTGGCCTTTATTTCATTGAGCAATTTGATCTTTTGGACATTTAATTGGTCCATCAGCTGATTCTTGATGGTTCTTGTCCTCTGTGATATCAAACTCCGTGGAATAAATTTCTCTTTCCAAGAGGATGCTTTTTTTTTTTTTAGTAGTCAAGATCAGTGCGATCAAGAATGATGGAGGTTTTAGTTTCAAGTCCATCTATATGTGATGATTAGGAAACCACCTAACTGAACTACGAGAATTCTCTAACTTTGCGGGAGATTTATTAACCTGACTCAATTAAAATGTTGCAAGATTTAGCAATAACATGAAAGTATTTGGTCAGCTACTATTTCAACCAAATTTAATTGGCTGCGAACAGACATGTGTTAATCCTCTGAATTGATGGCATCCCTTTGCAGCAAATAATTGTTAATTTGTAGAAGAAAGAAAACCAACTAGGTTTTTTTTTTTTAAAAAAAAAAAAAAGAAGGTACATGTATATTAAAATCAAGTACATATACTATTACATTAGGCTTTCGAGATTATGTAAATCACTAATATTATTTTTCCTAACTTTAATTATAATGCATGATTCAAAAGGCGACATTAGTTGTCGTAACCTAATTATTACTTCCTGCACCTCTGAGGGTTGATTATTCGGGCGGTGATTTCTTGTTAGCATTTCAAGATCCGTTCGAATAAATAAAATTGGGTGGCATGTTGGAGTGCAGGTCATGGCCTCAGCTTGTAAGGCTGAGAGGGATGAGAGAGTGACCGATTTAAGTTGAATCATGCATGTAAGATGCCAAATATTACCACAAAAAAATTGTATTTTAGCACATCAAGCCCTCCTGGTCCAGACCATTCAGGGTTGAAGAAGATCTACCTGTACAAAGGATTGACATGCACAAATCGAACGTAGCAAAAATAGGGTTACTGGAGAAACAAAGTGAACAAGGAAAACTTTCCCTTAAAAATTCAATCTCAAATAATCAAATTAATCGCTATTTGATTAACTCTAAGGGTTTCCCAGTTAACAAGTGTAACCAAAAATATAGAATACTTGCATCTTGCCAAAACTAGAGTTATGTACATGTAATTAATTAAGGTGTGCTAAATGCAACAAAATGGTTGTGGACTATCTATCTACCTATTACCACTCAGATCTCAGCGTTCTATTCACAAGAAAGACTGGCTGGACTAGAAACTTATAGAATTCCGCTTGTCAGGTGGTGCCACAGACTCCCACAATGAACAGTATTCAGGAATGTTACGAGCATCAACCCCAAGGGCGGCCAGGTTTCGAGCGTACTCCTGTTAAATAACGACCATGCTAATGAAAGACGGTTCTACAAACCGCGCAAAATAATAATTCCAACAAGCATGCAAGAGCAAATAAATTAATCGGCAAAGACTAAACCCTCAAAGAAGAATTGAATTCAAACCTGAATATCAAGAAAGAGCTGCATGCATATCTTCTCAGTGTCGGACAAATTTTGTTCTGGAACATCAGAGCTCGCTCCAGTTCCAGTTCTCCGTTGAGCACCAATACGTATTCTCTGCAGGGAAGATTCTGTCCTTCGTGTCTGCCAGAATATACAATATCTAATCATTGACTTTCTTTTCCAGAAACCAGAGTAATCAAGAATATATTGTACCAGGACATAAACTTTGAAGGTGAACAAAATTAGTTACATACTTACCACACTAACAAGCTCAGTAGCTAGCTCATTGTACCGACGAGTTATCTCCGAAGCAGTGCGCTGCAGGAGGTCATTTTTCATCTCCGCTGTCAAATATTTAGATGCTCGCTCGCCATCCAAGAAAGTCTGTTAAAGGTGAGTTAATTTAGAACCTAGATCGACAGAAGCAGTTAAGAAATGCCATATCCAGGTACCAACAGCACGGTTTGAAGAAGTAATAAGCAACAAATCACATAACAAATCATGTACTCCCTCCATTCCAAAATAAGTGTCGTTTTAGCAAAATGGAGAAATTTCAAAATAAGTGTCGTTCTCACATTTCAATGCACTTTTTGTCAAAAGTTTTCAAAATTACCCTCAAAAGAGTTGATGCTATTGGTGGACAATTTTATGATGGGGTTGGTTGAAGATATTCAAGTAAATTTATTACCCTATTTAAGAGTTTCTTAAACTATGTGCAAAGTGTAGGACGACACTTATTTTGGAATGGAGGGAGTATCTTCTAGGCCAGCTTAATAGGAGGAAACAAAGGATAGTTTTGGAATGTCAGATAGTACAATCTACGGAAATACAGATGGTTCAGAAATCAAGATACTCATAGCATAACCCAGAAATAAGCTTTAGGTAGGATGAGAATGCTGTTTGAAAGGTAACACAGAAATCATTTTTATATATTGCCATGATATCTTCAAGGAACTCAGCGTCAGTAAATTTTGTGAAAACTTCAAATTCTTCAATATTCTTTGGAAAATGAAGCTTCACAGAGAAAACTCTACTCTTTGAATATACATGCATGCTCGGAGGAGGTTTAATCACTAGTTAAAAAAAGTTCGCGTGTTGGGATGTTCTATCTATGCAGATGCAGAGATCCTGGAAAAGGAGAACCTTTCATTTAATCTATGGGATATGACTTTAATGCATGAGAATACTTACAATATGACTGAGGGGACTGATAAAGCTGTTAAACTCAAAATTCAAAAACCCAGAAATTATATCCTACTACCATAAGATTACCAAAGAAACTGGAAGACAAATTTTGCAAAATGGGTGAAACTTTTATGATGCATTTTCAGTCTCACAGATTAGAAATGAACGCATTGGAAGGAAATAAGAGTAGCTCTAAAGGTAATTGGCTTGGACGGGATTGTAGGAAACATATAGATGCCCCATTAACATATGGAAAAATATAGTCTCGTTAACTCAAAGAAATGGGCCTAAGTCCCCCAAAAGAATTAGAAAAAAACTAACAGCATATTTTATTTATATACCCAAAATGCTACATGAGCATGACAGATGAATATAGTCCGTATAGCCACAGCAAGGCTAAAGCTGTATCAGCTTAATGCCCAAGGGTAAAAACAAAGGATTACCTTTATTGGACGCAATACACCAGAAACATACTGAGAATGCCGAACTGGAAGAGGTTTGTTGGTCATCCTGTAGGTAGCAGTTATTCCTTTTAGCTGCATCAGGTCCTGCAAGACCAATAAAATGATGAATGGTAATTCATGCAAAAAGAAAAACTCTAAAAAATAAACAGCAAAACTGAAAACAAGTTTGAAAAACAGTTTGCATAAAGATTTTTAAATGATTGATGACAATCAAAAAGTTGTATATGCGCATATCCAGCTCAGAAGAACAGCCCAGTAGCCATACCTTGACTGATTTCTCGACAAGTGTGTCAATTATTGAGTTCATGACAAGGGGCAGAAGATCTTGCAATGATTTCCCAGCATGCAAAATGCTTTGTTTCACAAGATCAAGTACTTCAGTAGGGCAGGATTGAAGAAGCTCAGTAACATGACCAAGATAATCATCAGAAACCTCATCCGCCAGGAGATGCAGATCATATATTACCTGCCACACCACAAAGTATATTTATCGCATCGTGTAATATTTATCAGATTTTTCTTAAAAGGATACAGCTTTATCAATTTCCCCCCAATGTCGCCGAAGGAAAGTACCAAGACAAACTTGGCAACGTAGAATTATAGAAAAGTAATCAATACCTTCCACCAAGTAACACTCCTTAGTATCCAAAACAACAGAAAAGGAAATCCTAAGTTTTGCAGACTCCCCATTTTAAAGTACCACAAGACAGTAAGCTTAACTAAACAAGAATTTCATTCCCACAGAGTCAGTAAAGTCTGAACCACATAATTGATGCATACAGATTTTATTAACATACTTCAAAAACTTAAACGATGCATAGAGGTTGGTAGACACACATGTTATTCCCCTTTCCTCGGTTTTCTATTTTCATAGACCCTGAATTTAAATTTCAAAAAAGCTATTTCAACATTCACTAGTTCTTAATAGCTAACAGAAATTGCAATAAGATCTTGCAACAATCCAAAAGAAAGGTGTTGGTAACCATCGGAACTAGTGTATTTGGCAAAGCCTCACTCCTTGCTCATTGCTCAGCAGATGCAAATTCAATCAAAATTGGCAACAAATATTGGCTTCTAAAACAACTACATCCCCACACACAGCATAAAGAAACTTATCTAACTATTCCTTAAAAATATAACTTCTTGTTCATAATCAAATGATAATGGGTTAACCTCAGACCAAGCAAAACTACCATCCCTAGTACGATACAGGACATTATAGCCTTCCATGAAATACGATCATTTAGGCTTACTATCTACAGCTGCTGCAAAGTGCCTCGGAATAGGGCCAGGTTGAGGGTGATCATTTATTTTGAAAAGAAAATCAAATACTCCCTAAAATCAAGCTCTTAGAAGATATACCGTTTCCTCTATTTTCAATAGGCAAGCCATTCACCTGCTCTGAATATAGGTTCAAGTTGCATGCTTAGAACAGAATACCAAGAAACCAGAGTGTTTTAGGGTTTCAAATCGTAACCCACTAGTAATAATGTTAATTAAAACTAATAAATGGAACAATGGAATTCGTACATAAATGAGGTCTTCCGGGACAGCAGAGATAGCCCATTCGGTGCCAGGATTGGAGCCAACATTACTGGATCTTCGTGCAGCCAATCCAGTTGATAACCAGTTGGAAAATCTGAAATTTTATGCAAAGGAATTATGGACATGTTTGAATGAAAATGCTTGAACTGTACACACATACAGAAGTCAACTTAACGATAAACCAACCTGGATAATAGTTGTAGAGTCAAGCGAAGGAACTTATCAGCAAAGGAAATTACAAGAACATCATCTCGCCAGCAGGCCCTCAAGCAATCTAAAAGGGACACACTCTGTTTCAACACCAAAGATTGAAAGTTCGAAGAATCTGAGGACAAGTCCTGCACGGGGGCAAGACTGGCCGCTCTTAGAGACTCATCCAAAGTTCCAGCAATTTCCTGAAACCTGTTTAGTGAAACGTGTCACCAACTTGCCATGTACATTTAAAATTTCAGTAGGCAACAAAGCCTACAAAATCTCAAAGCATTCACAAAGCCAAAGATTAACACGACTGCACGAATTCCAGTGAACCTCTATAAACTCTAATATAAAGTTGCGACCCGTTGTTTCCCATTTTGCCTGTTCCTTTTTTCCTGGTAGTCTCAAGTATCCCCGAGTTTTAGGTTAAAGCAGTACAGTAACAGAAGTTTGCTCTGATAATGGCAACAATGTAAAGATGCACATCAGATGTGAGCCGATCAAGTACAAGTAATGTTTATGCAAGTACCCTCAAACAGTCCAAATGTTGTTCAATACACTGTGAATTTCGCCGTAGGCAAACAACCTGTTCGACAAATTAATTGAGATGATTTTGTCTATTATCCTTGGCCAGTATTTAAGGCTTTTATCTATGTACCAGTTGGGGAAGGAACATTCTTTTCTCTACGAATGATCATCTGTGGCGGAAGATCAATTAAAATAATCACGAGTGACCTACTCTCTAAGGTAATTATGTATACAAAGTGGGCAAATATATTAACAGATTCCAGCTTCCCTATGTCCTTGTCCCACTTCAGAAATGGCAACTCACCAATTAACATTTTTACATACAATGAAATTCCAATCTTAAGAGAAAATAGCCATCTTATAACTTATACATAAAATAAGTACCTTAGAGAAAAGTAGACTCCAATGTTCCACTGCTTCATGAACTCAGCATATACAGCCTCAGAGCGAAATTTAGCAACTGCGGATCTAGTGTGATAATAACCTGCATGACGCACGGAATCGGATCAGATTGGAAAGCTAAATTAATTGAGGAACAAACACATCTGCATTTGCAGGTTATTAGTTTAATACCTTCTAAATGAGCCAAAAAATCTAGGGAGGACTTGTAGTTCTTCAAAAACACCGTAGGCCTTCCTGGAGAAAAAGCCCCAGGTTTCCCTTTTTGAATTGCAGAAAGAACCTCCTTGAGTATAGAATTCGCTATAAAACTAAACACATGCAATCCGGAATTTTCTGCACCACCCAAATAGATATGTCAATAGAAAGAGAACAAGAACTACAAAAGATCCCAATAAAAAAAAGAAGTCGACAGACAATTACAAACTGTATGTTAATAGAACAAAATTCAAGAAACTGTGAAATCTGGTTACTGATTATTATTAATTGCTCTATTTGTGTTACCAAGAAATCTGTTACGATGGAGAAATGCGGAATATAAGACACTTAAACAGCTGACTAGAGGGGCCCCACTATCAGCCCAGTCAGTTTTAAAATCCAGCATTGATGAAAAGATATTCCGTAGCAATATTCTTTGTAATGAAAAGGCAGGATAACACGTATAACCAGCAATGAATCTTGAGAACAAAAACAAGTGGTTGTGAATGAGCTAAAATAAAAAACGTTGAACAGATTTCTCAGCCAAACCAGCTGAACAATGTCAATGGATAGCAAACAAGAACTACAAAAAATCCCAATAAAAAAAAGAAGTCCACAGACAATTACAAACTGCATGTTAATAAAGCAAACTTCAAGAAACTGCGAAATCTGGTAACTGATTATTACATGCTCTATTTCTGTTAGCACAAAAATCTGTTATGATGGGGGGAAAACGGAAAATAAGACACTTAAACAGTTGACTAGAGGGGCCCCACTATCACCCCCGTCAGTTTTTAAATCCAGCATTGATGAAAAGATATTCCGCAACAATATTCTTTGTAATGAAAAGGCAGGATAAACAAGAAAGACGAGCAATGAAATTTGAGAACAAAAACAAGTGGTTGTGAATGAGCTAAAATAAATAACGTTGAACAGATTTCTCAGCTAAAACCAGCTGAACAATGTCATGGAGACCGGATTCAAAACTAAATCAATTCTTCTGATTTTTCTTTTCCCTCTACAGGGAATACTCGGCTGCTGACAAATGCCATCTAACAACTGAAAGAAATGTATACTCCACCCAGGGTGAGGTCTTCCAGGACAATAGAATAAACAGACGCAGATAAGACATAAAATCAACAAAATAATGCTAACACCCAAAATTAATCCATGCGTACTTGTAAGACGGGAAAAGTATGTACCTGCGGCCGATATTTCCAACAAAAATTTACAGTCATCATTAATAAATTGTTTGATTCTCTGATAGTCTTGCTCAAGTTCATCAGTGGATTTCCCGTCTCCCCCTGCTGGAAATATTTTCTCCATGAAAGGCATGACCACAGTTGAGCGAAAAATTTCCTCTGCATTTTTTATGTTGTCAAGAGCTGCAAATGCCCGTAAACAATTGTATATGGCATTTGCATCCCTATGTTCAAGGGCATCTATGAAACAATGTCCTAAGCTTGTGTCAACTAACAAGCTAGCACCCTGCACCCTCTTCTCCATGTTCTCAATAAAAGGCATATTCTGCACAGTCAAAATCAGTAAAGAGAGTTAAGATAAAAACTCCATGAAGGCTAACAAAGATAAGGAGTTTTCCAAACTGCAATTTGCGACAGAGCAGATTTTTTGTAACCATTAGTGACATATAATGCAGATTAAATTAAAGAAACAAAAACGACTAACAAAACAGGCACTGAGTGCATACACACTAGGATTTTCACTAACCATTAAAGCACAGACAATAAAAAGTAAAATTAAAAAGGATTACCACTAATTTTTTACAGTGAAAATATAATTATTACTATATATATATAAGAAAAAAAAAACAGCGAGACCCACACACCTCACAATTGATGCAAATTTTTTATCCCCATCTCCATAGAGAATTATCAAGATTTCAGATGTTAGGCAACACAAGAATTAAATAACCAATACCAGCGGTAGTTTATCTCGTTTGAAGGTGTTCTATATATTATTCTATACATCTCGAGGATCATGAGAGAAACCAAAACCATAAATAGGCAGAATAACCAAAAAAAACTTATTTCCCAATGGAAAAAAAATATTAATTGAATCAAAAAGGTTGGTGCAATAAACAAAAATAAAATGAAAATAAAGAGTGTAGGCAGGCCTGCCAGGGTTTTACCCTCGCTGACCATTGCAAACTGAAACTAAAACCAAAGTATTACTCGGTGAAAGAAGGAATCCATGTTCGTCAAAAAATTTAAAGATTCAAGACTAAAAGAAAACATGTAGTTGAGTAGGTCATACTGATACTAAGCCCATTTGCCTTCAATATAGAAAATACAACGATATAATGAGAATACGACAAGATATTGAGCATGTGCAAACTACACATTGCATAGAAGATAAAAATATGTATAACTAAGACCAAATAATCACGGCCCCGAGTTGATAAGTATTAGAGAAAATTGTACAATCATCAAACACTTGGAAGAAAACCACAACCCCAAAAAGCATGTAAAAGAAATCAAAGGATAAGATATTAACATAAGAATGAGTAGACCTGTGCATGAGCAATATAAAACTTCAGTCTATTCATCTCACTAGCAATCCGCTCCAGAAGCATGCTTTGAGTCTCCCTCAGACTGGTTCCATTTTCAACATTTTGTAAGGAAAAGCCATTGTCCTTTGCTCCAGAATTTACATATCCATTTGCCAAATCTACAGGCACATCGGGCAGCTCCTTTATCAGTTTCTCAACCTATAATTAATCAATAGAAGGAAAAAGTTCATCAGGTATTATCAAATCGCACAAATATACATTCTTTAAAGAGAAAGGGAACAGAGAACCAGGGAGCAAGACACATTTCACATTCAGGACAATGTGGGCAATCTTTTCTCGAATTAGGAAAATATACAAGCAACACTCATTCATGAAAAGGAGGCAAAACATGTCTCTCTCAAATTTCAAATTCCAAAATAAGCCAATAAAGCAATCAACCGTTAATTCAGCATCAAATCACACTAATAGGAGTAAAAAAAAGTCCACAACATTTGTTATAGCTAACAGAAGTCCAGTGCAGTTAAAGCAGCAACAGATGGTTTGAACATCAAAGGCAGTGGATAAGATAAATATAACAGATATCTATTAACATGACTGATTAAGTAAAAGATGGCTTGAAACTGTTACAACAAGCTAGAGATGAATCATCTTTTTTACAGTAGAAAACCCAATAAAACCAGCTATATGACCCATCAAATAAACTCTGCAAATCAGAAACTAGTAATTTGGACCAAAAAAAAAAAAAACCTTACTACTCTTCTGGGGCTTCATCATTAGTAACAGATTCCATAATGAAATTATTTTTAGCCATCACAATTCAATTGAATAGTAATAACAAACAAAACTCCCCATAAGCCCTTTAATGAAAGGAAATTCCCCAGAAAGGGGACAGAAGGAAATACAGAAAACACATGAAATCAAGAAGCATTGCTACCTTGGAAACCACGTGGAAGGTATCCAGGAGGAGTTCGAGAACTTCTCTAGTCTGATTAGCGTCAGCTCGCTGCTTGAGGCGGCTTTTGAGGGCCACAAGGGAAGCATCAACGGCGTCTCGAAAGGCCAATATCTTCTCTTTGATATCAAGCAACGGGGCACGCATACGAACCACGCAAGCATCAATGTCGATCAGTTTGGTGCTGAGACTGACGAAATCGGAGTAATCCCGGTTGATTAAATCGACGAGCTCCTTTTGTAGAGAGCTCAAGTGCGATTGGAGTTCGGATCTTAGGGTTTCGAGAGGGACGAATGCCCGGAGATCGGATATGTATGATTCAGGGTCGAATTCTGGACCCACGAATGCAGTTGGGTTTAGCCATGGCGGATATACATCAACGGGATCCCCGAACAGGTCCGCCGTAGATCGAGGCAACGTCGGAGGAGGAGTTGGCGGCAATGGGGATCGCAGGTCGGTCATTGTGTTCTGTTTTCTCTCTGATGGGGTTTACTGTTTTCTCTCTTCAGTCTCCGGAGTTCAGATCAAGACAGACCTTTTAAGTTAAAGGAGGATTTGGGCCAAATTAGGCTACTAAAGGCCCTAATTTTTTCCCTTAAACGCCTAATTAATACCAAAAACCATTTTATTTCTATCAGATTTTATAAATTATTAGTTTCAATTTCATTTTTTTAATTCCTAAATCAATTTTTTATTTCAAATTTTTTCATTCCTAAATTCAAAAAACTCAGATTTAATGGCAGAACGAATGAAACGGCTACGGAAAGAAACACGGAAACTGAAGATCCGTTCAAATTAGAGGTTTTTCTTTTTTTAAAAAAAAAATGCACTGCCCAGACCGACGATAGAGGACAAGTCACTCCTCACAGAGCCGGCGCGCCGGCTCCACTTGCCCTAGCGAGGTCCTCCATCGCCGTCTGCGTCAGGGCCGGCGCCTATTTCTTCGCCACCCTCTGGGGGTGAGGAGAGAAATGTCTCGCCAGGCGCTGGCCGCATGGCGAGATTAACCGGCGCCGGTATGTTTATTTATTTTTTTAGTATTAAATTTTATTTATTTTTTAATTTATTTATTTTAATTTAATTGTTATTTATGAATTGTAGAATAAATATTAGTAATTTTAATTTAATTGTTATTATTAGTAATTATAAATCTTATGAAATTTAGTTTTTATTATTAGTTAAATTTATGATTTTATAGTTTAATCTTAGGAATTTGTTTTTATTAGTTTAATTTATTTAGGAAACATTTTTATTAAATAATATGTTTAATCTTAAGTAAATAATTTATTAATAATATTCATATTTAGGAATTCATTAGTAGTTTTAGGGAGTTTCAATTTTTTTAAATTAATTGGGGATTATGAAAGTTATTATAATTAATTTAATTATAGAAAATATTTTTATAAGATTAGTCGGTTTAATTGTAACTAGCCTCAAAAAAATGTGATACGTAGAAATTAAATATTTAGTATAGAAAAATTAAATAAATAAGTATTAAGTAAATACAAAAAAAAAAGAGGCTAGTAGATAATTAGAGTTAATAAAATATTTATTTAATTTTGTTTTATATTAAATAATAAATTAAATATTTATTTAATTTTGGTTAAAATTAAATAATAAAATATGTAGATAATTTAATTAATTGAAGTATATTTGGAAATATTATTATTTGTACTTAGTAGATTTAATAAATTAAACATTTAAGATGTATAGTAGAATTTTATAATTAGGTATTTAAATAATATAAAAATGTATTAAAGTAATTAACCTAAATTAATAATTTATTATTTAGGTTTTATTAAGTATGTATTAAAAGTAAACTTTTTGGGACGAATTCAGGATTAATTAAAGTTACGTGTAAAATTTAAAACTTTTGTAGGATGGGATATCGCCTCTTGAGGGATCTGATAATCGACATGCAGTTATGCACACTCTATATGCTGAACATCGTATAGAAAAAGAGAAAAACTTAAAAAAACAGAAAAATGTACATCCTACCTTTGCCCCACTTGGTGAGTCAGTGAACGTAGATGATGATGATGAGTTTAAGGGAGAGGAAGAATAAGATGAGGATAATTTTGAGAGTGGAGGGGACGATGTGGATGAGGAGGATGAGTCAGACGAGTATTCTTCGTCTGAGAATAGAGATATACATTTTGGAGGTAACTCAGTACTGAACCCCATTGGTCATACTGATGATGAGACTCCAGTTCACCCTACCCGGGGGGGAGGGGGGGAGACCCTTGTTGGATTATCGGGGTTGAATTCAGCTTACACTCCGGTAGTTCCAGTCTTCGTGCCGGCCTACAGAGTACTCTTTTTAGAGGTCCTAGTACTACTCTTCATCATACCGGCCCACAGAGTGCTCTTTTTAGAGGTCCTAGTACTACTCTTCATGATACCAGCCCGCAGGATATTTTGTTTGGAGGTCCTAGGAGTATCCTTCACGATGTCGGCCCCCAGTATCGTTCTGGCTGGACTTCGTCACACCTCCCTTAGACTAGTCAGCCTCGTTCCCGTTTTGATGCCGCCTCCATTGGTGCCTCTATCCGTCCTGAGGCAGTTGCGACATCATCAGGTACGTATTTGTAACTATTTAAGCATTCATTACTACGAAGTCAATTTCTTTATTGCATTCCGTTAAGTATTTACCAACTATTCTTTATTTGGTTTCAGGTACTAGCAGACGGTCTAAGCTTTCTAACAAAGAAATTGATGATTGGGTTGTGACGGACGACGTACGTGGCGGGCCATGTGATGGGTCAATGATTTCTAATTTTCTTGGCCACACTGCTTATCAGTTGTGGAATAGAGAACCAAGAGAGTACCTGACGATGTAGCCAGCGAAGAAGAGTTTATCCAGATTGCATGGATGGTATGCGAGATTGCCGGAGAACGCGCAGTTGGAGATTCAGAATACCGGTTTGTATCATCTGATTGATACCATGTATGATGACATTGACCTTGCGCTTATTTCTGCATCCATAGAGAGGTGGCAGCCCGACACAAACTCTTTTCACTTGCCGTTTGGGAAAATGACCATCATGATGCATGATGTGGCACACATTTTGGCGATTCCAGTTGAGGACTTGTTGACTGAACCTCCGGAAGTGGAAATGTTGAAGATGCAGGTCGGGAGATTGCTTGGGTTGCCGGTGGCTGAGCGTGCATGGAGCCACGGAGGTGTGAGCGACATATTGATCGAGGAAAGTTGTCGCAGGGTCCTCCCCGCTGTTTAGATTCAAACTTGGATGTGGATCTTGTTAGCCTCGACACTCTTCCTGGACAGGAGTGGGGGCAGGATTAGTGCTTCGCTTATGAACGAGCTCCACGGAGGCATCGAAAATATTGAAGCTTACTCCTGGGGATCCGGTACACTAGCATTCCTCTACCGTCAGCTTGGGATTGCTAGTTGAACAGGGTGTACCACGATGGCCGGTTGCATGACCCTTCTACAGGCATGGATATATGAGTATTTTTCATGCTTCCAGCCCTCGAAGAGGCGGGGACGTCGATGTGTTGATGGTTGGCCCAGAGCCCGAGACTCGACACCAGTTAGTTATAAGCCCTAAAGCAATTATGATCTGGAAGTCGAATCCTTTGAGTTGTGGTTAGGGGTGAAATGCCACTCGACGAAGCCTATTCAGAGTCGACTCCAGCAGATTCGTGCGCAACTCGATGCGATGACTGAGCAATAGGTAGTGGTTCTATTTTATTTCTTTGTATTGCGTAAGGGGTATTTCATTATACTATATAATAAATTTTGGTAACATTCGCAGGTCGAATGGGAGCCATTCGGTCGCGAACAGGCGGCCGCACATCCGAGGACCATCTTCAGTGGGTGGATTATGTACCACGACTTCCAGGAGCCATACATACCGGACCAGCTCGGTTACGTGCAGTATATACTTCGTGCACCGCTCACGCCGGTCACTCAGTTTCGTGGGAAAAATACGCACAAGTATTTTGTTAATCGTCCCAGTGCCGAGACTAGTAACCGTTGGGTTAGATTTCTGGAATCGGAGTGCATCAGCCTCAGTCATTGTATGCTAGTATCGTCTACGAAGGTAGGACAGGCAGCTGTAGAGTACCTCGACTAGTACATGAGCCATTCACATCCATTCATACTGCCGACGTCCGTCCCGTCTACGTCACGCATACCAGCTAAGAACTGCACCACTTACATAAGTTCAACACTCAATGGAATTTTAGAATTTTATTTTAATAACACACGTACTATCTTGAATGGTTTAATATGGTTTTATTTAATATTTGTAGTAGATGCGTGAGATGGAGAGGTTGAGTCGAGGTTGCATCGAAGATTTGAAGAAACTTGATCTGGATCTTGGTCTGCAGTGGGATACTCGCCTGGATTATGTCATCTTCCGTCACAGTCAAGCCCCATGACATTCGACTTCTTTGGTTAGAATTTGGTTATTGAAAACTCATTGTCATCTTTCTTTGAGTATGTCACGATTTCGTAGTTGTAAACATTTTGGACTTATTTTGATTTTCAATTTCATTTCATTGAAAAACAAATGAAAAAAGAACATATAAAATATTTCATATTTGCATAACCAAATGTAAAACAATATATCACCCGAGATCAACAAATGATCGTCTGGGTCTTCTCGGGGGATTCGGTGGGACCAAAGTATGCCATAGTTACATTCTGGGTTCCAGAGATACTTCCCAACCAATAACACTACTATCATGGTCGTGATGCCAAATGGGATGAATAGGTGGAATTGGAAAATCACTATGCACATTGAGTCGAATGAAGTGCTGGTAGGGCTCAAGGTGGCAAATAATGATCTGGAACTCTGGTGTTGTTGCCCCGCCCCATGCGATGAGTGCTAGCACAGTCCAACTTGTGCCGTTTAGATTTACAGCGCCGTTTGTCCTGAAGTAGTACACAACAACATTGAAATATGTAGCAATGGGATATAAGTCCTCTGTCGACATCCAGTGCACATCGCTTATACCTGTCCACCATATACGCTCTAGGTTTTCAGGTAATTTATCCCACCTACAAAGACGAGTAAAGGAAAATTTTAAATAAAATCACATTGATGCAAGTGTATTAAATAGGATCTCAAAATAAAACATGTCGTACCCGTAAAGATTCCCGTAAAGCCAGGATTATTTATAACCTCATCGAACACTATCTGTCTGCACAAAACATGATTATTCTGCCCTCCCAATATGTAACTCGCAATGACGCGAAAACCACAATTGCCGTCATGCTGGACATCAAGATATGACTGAACATGGTTGTAGAGTATCTGCGGAATCTTATTCTTATGCCTAAACTTGGAAAAGTCTGTCTGCATCACATCTGTTACCAAGTAAATTAATTTCATTATTTCTGGATTAAATATAAGAATTTAATAACATAATAAAATTTAGCTCTTTTAAAAATATAAATATAAATCGTACCTCCGACATTGGCTTCAGATCCCGACGTATGGCCTCTACTGGAACTGCTGGTGTTCGTCCCACCTAGCATAGTCCATGTACCTGTGTTCGCACGCCATGAAAC